TGTCTCGCGTCCCGACATGATCCAGCTGCTAATGGAGGCCAAGAAGGAGTCCCAGGATAACTGGACTGACGATGAGATTGTGGCCCAGTGCTTCGTTTTCTTTTTCGCCGCCTTTGAAAATAACTCAAACTTGATTTGCACCACCACTTACGAGTTGCTGCTCAATCCCGAGGTCCAGGAGCGTTTGTACGAGGAGGTGAAGGCGGCCCAAGAGGCTCTGAAAGGCGGATCTCTTACTTACGATGTCGTGCAGAAGATGACCTACATGGACATGGTCATTTCCGAGTCTCTCCGAAAGTGGACTCTGGCCGCCATGACCGATCGTTTCTGTTCCAAGGACTACACACTTACGGATGAGGATGGGACCAAAGTTTTCGACTTCAAAGTGGGCGACCGCGTCAGCATTCCCATCTCTGGGTTGCACTGGGATGACCGCTACTTCCCGGAACCCAGAAAGTTTGACCCGGAGCGCTTCAGCGAAGAGCGAAAGGGCGACTTGGTGCCCTACACCTATTTGCCTTTCGGCGTAGGACCTCGAAACTGCATAGGTGAGTTACAGAAAAACAAATAGGTGTTCTTGAGATTTTCCTTGTGAATTGCCTTTAGAAAGTCTGTAGTTTTACTGTACCCCGTATTTTAAATTTAACTTATTCTAAATATTATTATACTACTTCCATTTTCGCAGGAAACCGCTATGCTTTGATGCAGGTCAAGGGTATGCTCTATAACCTGCTGCTGAATTACAAGATCGAGGCTTCTCCCAGGACCGAGAAGGATCTGTGGGGATCGGCTCGAGGCCTTAACTTTTCTACAAGTTCTGGATTCAGGATGCAATTGGTTCCGAGAAAATAAGCTGATGTGGATATAGAGCAGACTGCTTAATTATTTGAGAGTGAACACTTGTTGATATTACACAATAAAATGTTTAACAATATAAAATATTTAATATTTATTTGACTTTAAAATGGGAGGATATTACGATCACGTACAGTTTAATTCCATTCGAATCTGATTGGATGAATATTGTTTCACCCCGGACTTAATTTGTCTAGCAAACCTTTCGACTTGTTTACTTTAATTTTTATATTGGTTATATTACGAATACGATCTCGTATTAATTTCTGGTGGCCGAAATCGCTCTCGCGTTGCCTAGGCCAATTATAATTACACATAAAAAAAAAACTTGGTAAAATCAACTGTAATAATTGTCAAACAGGCCCCAACCAGCAAAATTGTCAATTCTACTAAGTAAATAGTCATTTCACAACAACAAAATACACACAATTAGCAAAGACGCACACCCAAAGCAAAAACAAAATACACGTAACTATTTTAAAAGTTACGTAACTATCTTTGTTGGTAAATTTTACCAAGCAAATTTTTTTGTGTGTATATATATTAAACACGATTAAGATGTGTAAGGGGAGATGGGGGAATTTCGTCACAGGGGCAATTTCGTCACCTGCAATATCTCGGAATCCATAAGTCCTAAAAATATATAATTTTTTTGTTTTAGTCCTTCAAGACGGCCAGACACAACCAATGTATTTGTTTTGCACAGAAGGCCAAGATAATTAAGCTATAATATTAAATGTGTTTTAACAGTTCAAAAGCTACATTTAGTTCTCGACGAAATTTTTTCTGTATGCCACAATTCAAAAGGAATAAGATACACGATTTTTTATATAATACAGTGTGCTATAATGTGCATTTCTGCGTTAGTGATTTTTAACTTCGCGCCTAGTTTCGGAAGAAAAATAATTATTTTCAAAAAAGTACTGTGTGGGGAAATTTCGCCACCCTACGCTAAGGGTAAATTCGCACCTATTTTAAATACATATCTTTATATTTGACGAGCTGGCTAACGAACAGACTACCAGCAGCAGCAACAAATATAGGACGTCAACAAAAATGGTACGCTTGATCAGTGTAGCATATTTACAGGCGTTAAACTCGCTACATTTTTCAGGTGACGAAATTGCCCCGGTGTTGTGGTGATTTTACCCCCTGTGTGGCGAGATTGCCCCAGTATATTGGTCTTACATTTTATTTTTTTATAAATCACCAAGGTAATTAAAAAAATAGGGGAATGTCACATTTTAAAGCTTGGTGCTAACCGCATTCAACAATAAAAATAGAAATATGAAAACGTGTCTCTAGATGGACAAAAAATAGCTTTGAAAAAATGCTGACGAAATTCCCCCACTCTCCCCTACAACGAACATTGAAAAATTTCTTTTACATTTCGATAGGGTTGATAAACACCATAAAACTAAATTTTTACTTTTCCGAAATCTTTAAAGGTGTGGGTCTTTTGTTGACTATCGATTGGATTTCGTTGTAAAGGTAATTCTTTCGTCATCCACCTAAATGCAGTTCAAAGGCTTTTAAATAAAATTCTCAGGTCATATGCACAAAATGCAGTGAATTCTCGCCGAAACACATTAAAATACATGTGTAATAAAGCTTGGTAGAACCAGTTTTATGTTAGTGCGATATCACAATAGTTGAAAAGCGTGACCCAAACGCGATGATCGTCATGAAATAGAAAAGAATTAATCAAAGCAAAGCATATCGAATCGATTGCGTACAAAACTTATTTTATTAGCTATAGATAGAGTCATTTGAGCGTTATATTACGAATACGATCTCGTATTTATTTCTGGTGACCGAAATCGCCCTCGCGTTGCCTATGCCAATTATAATTATGTATATTAAACATGATTAAGATTTGTGGTGTACAAAAAAATATAAACAATTCAATGAGAGCGGAGTACGCAGCACTCAATAAGGTTATTATTTTTGCTATTCGATCCAAGAGAGCGCTAGATTAGCTTTAAATGTATGGGTTCATTTTAAACATGAAAGGAAGCTAGCTTCTGCCAGCCGAAGCTTATATACCCTAGCAGATCATTTCTATTAAAAAACAAATTACAAAATGTAAAATTTTGTTATATTTTAACACTAATTTTTCTTTCCCTCCAATGGCGGCTATAAAATATTGTCGTCCGATTATTGTTAAATTTAAGTCGAAATTCAAAAATATTAAACAAGAGAGAACGCTATAGTCGGGTGCCCCGACTATCAGATACCCGTTACTCAGCTAAAGGGAGTGCGAAAGAGATGGAGAAAAACTTTGATCCGCCGTAACTTTTTAACGAATGGTCCGATTTAAAAAATTTCTTCTACATTTCGATAGGTATTGATAAACACAATAAAACTGCATTTTTACTTTTCCAAAATATTGAAATTTTTAAAATCGTATATAAGCGATTGTGGGCGTTAGAGGGGGCGTGGCACCCCTTGCACTGCGTAGGAACTCCTAGAATCTGCATGCAAAATGCCAATCTTCTAGCTTTTATAGTTTCCGAGATCTCAGCGTTCATACAGACAGACAGACAGACAGACAGACAGACAGACAGACAGACGGACAGACAGACGGACAGACGGACAGACGGACAGACGGACAGACGGACAGACGGACATGGCTAGATCGACTCGGCTAGTGATCCCGATCAAGAATATATATAGTTTATAGCGTCGGAAACGCTTCCTTCTACCTGTTACATACTTTTGCACGAATCTAATATACCCTTTTACTCTACGAGTAACGGGTATAAAAAGAGTTATATCGCTGAATAGAAGAGAATACAATAAAAACCAACGGAGCTATAATTTGTTTCGAATTAATTTTCCTTTAATTTTCCGATCGTTACTATGGCAGCTATATGATATAAACTTCAGATTTTTATAAAATTAAATTCGAAATTCCGAATTAAAAATAAAGTTATTCCCAAGAGTTGAAAGTAAAATTTCAAAAAACTTCTTCTTCACTGCGTTGAAAATTTGTGACTGAAATAATAATACCCTCTGCAAGGGTATAAAAACAATCACAAACCTGTTGGGAGCGATATCTCTCTTAGAACGTATATAAACGTACTTGTCATAAACACAGTCAGTGCTTCAAAGCCTTCGAGGAGCGGAACCTGGACTTCGAAAAACCTTTTCCATTTGCCGGTAATATAAGTGCATAGGCCATGGAGAAAGACACCTTTCAAAGGCAGATAGCCGAGTTCTACCAACGCACTCGCCATCAGTAAATGATTAGCGGCTCGATTTCCAGTGGCGAAATATCAATGGGATCTTATGAAATTCCAGTCAAATTGTAGGCCTCTTCAATCTGAACACACTAATGGTTCAGCTAAACGAGCCGCAGCCAATTAATTAGATCGGGTTAGGACTTTGACCACTTTCCCAACAACCAGCATTTTATGAGCGTCAATGAGCGTTTAATTAACGATATATTAACGATCTGAAACAGATAGTACTTTCACTCTTTTGGATATTATTTTGTTGACTATCGATTGGATTTCGTTGTAAAGGTACTTCTTTCGTCATCCACCAACAAATGCAGTTCAAAGGCTTTTAAATAAAATTCTTAGGTTATATGCACAAAATGCAGTAAATTCCCGAATGACGCTTGGTTAAACCAGTTTTATGTTAATAATAATAGTTAAAAAGTGTGACCTAAAAGCGATGATCGTAATGAAACAGAAAACAATTAATCAAAGTTAAGGTAATCTTGTTTTCATATTGAATCCATTGTGTACAAAAATTATTTTGTTAAAAAAAACTTTAGTTATCAAGACGTATTTTAATTTTACTAAGACTATTTATTTTCTTTTTGTGGTCCTGTGTAATTATTTGTTTTCACAGATTAGATGAAACCGCTGTTGATACAGTCATTTGATAAGATTGTTAGAAAGAGAGGTGTTTTCGAAACCTCTCTCATATAAACAAACATGGGCAACACTCAACTTATTATTCTCGCAAAACCACAACGATTGTTCAAAGAGAGCGGCAGATAAGTGCGCTATGTTTGAGTTCACGACAGAAAAAGTGGAAATAAAGCTTCTAACCTGTTGAGAACGTAGATAGATATACTTAGAATACGAGTACATACGTATTTTTCGATTACGTCGGGTATAAATAGCGGGGTCGCGCAATTGCGAAACTCAGTTTGGAATAAATTGTACAAGTGGTTAAACGTTAATTGCCTAGCAATGGCTCTCCTAGAAATTGGTCTGGGCCTCCTGGCCATCGCTTTTCTACTCTACAAATGGGGCACGGCTACCTTCAAAACCTTCGAGGAGCGGAAACTGTACTTTGAGAAACCCTACCCGTTCGTCGGCAATATGGGTGCATCGTTCATGCAGAGAGCTTGCTTTCAAAAGCAGCTATCCGAGTTCTACGATCGCACTCGTCAGCAGTAAGTGGATAGGGGCTGTCTTTTGTGGTGACGATTGACAAGAAAACTTTATTGATATTGTAGCAAAATTGTGGGCTTTTTCAATTTGCGCACACCCATGATCACGCTGAATGATCCGGAGCTGATCAAAAAGGTTTGCGTCAAGGACTTTGACCACTTCCCCAACCACCAGCTCTTCATCAGCACCAACGAGCGTCTGATAAATGACATGCTCAGTACGATGAGGGACCAGCGATGGAAGCACATGAGGAACACTCTGACTCCAGTCTTCACGGCGGCCAAGATGCGCAACATGTTCACCCTGATGAACGAAAGTTTCGCGGAATGCCTGCAGCACCTGGACACCTCGGGATCTTCCCCCAGTAAAAAGGGTTTCGAGGTGGACATGAAGGTGCTGTGCAACAAGCTCTCCAACGACATTATCGCCACCACTGCGTTTGGGCTCAAGGTCAATTCGTATGAAACCCCGGAAAATGAATTCTACGAGATCGGGCAGTCACTGGTTTTCTCTCGCGGAGCCCAGTTCTTTAAGTTTATGTTGGCTTCATTGGTTCCAAAGCTTTTCAACGTAATTTTTAGGCTATTGGTGTTGAAAACGTATCTAATTTTAAATCCTTCTTTTAGGCTTTTGGAATGTCAGTCTTTGACTCCAGCAAGGTGGAGTACTTTGTTCGTCTGGTGGTGGATGCCATGAGGTACCGAGAGCAGCACAATGTCTCGCGACCCGACATGATCCAGCTGCTAATGGAGGCCAAGAAGGAGTCCCAGGATAACTGGACTGACGATGAGATCGTGGCCCAGTGCTTCATTTTCTTTTTCGCCGCCTTTGAAAATAACTCAAACTTGATTTGCACCACCACCTACGAGTTGCTGCTCAATCCCGAAGTCCAGGAGCGTTTGTACGAGGAGGTGAAGGAGGCCCAAGAGGCTCTGAACGGAGCTCCCCTCAACTACGATGCCGTGCAGAAGATGACCTACATGGACATGGTCATTTCCGAGTCCCTCCGGAAGTGGACTCTGGCCGCCGCCACGGATCGTTTCTGCTCAAAGGACTACACACTCACGGATGAGGATGGGACCAAAATTTTCGACTTCAAAGTGGGCGACCGCGTCAACATTCCCATCTCTGGGCTGCACTTGGATGACCGCTACTTCCCAGAACCCAGAAAGTTTGACCCGGAGCGCTTCAGCGAAGAGCGTAAAGGCGACTTGGTGGCCTACACCTATTTGCCTTTCGGCGTAGGACCTCGAAACTGCATAGGTAAGTTACAGAAAAACAAATAGGTGTTCTTCTTCATGTAAATTGCCTTTAGAACTTTTAACAATTTCTTTATATAATTATGCTATTTCCATTTTCCCAGGAAACCGCTATGCTTTGATGCAGGTCAAGGGTATGCTCTACAACCTGATGTTAAATTACAAGATCGAGGCCTCTCCCAGGACCGAGAAGGATCTGTGGGGTTCGGCTCGAGGTTTTAACTTTACTCCAAGATCTGGATTCTGGATGCACTTGGTTCCGCGAAAATAGGCTGATGTGGATACAGTGCAGACTGCTCAATTATTTTAGAATACACACTTGATTAAGTTCTTATGCACACCTGTTGATATTGCACAATAAAATCTTTAACCATAAAAAATATAAAATATTTATTTAAATTTAAAATAGAAGGATAATCCGATCACTTCCTTGGCGTACCTACAGTTTAATACCAACCGAATTCGATTGGGTGAGAATTTTGTTTCCTCACGGACTTTGTTTGTCTATCAAACCTGTCAACTTTTATTTTTATCAAATAAAAACACCTCTTAACGAGGTAAAAAACTAGTGACGATCGCACCTTCAACATACAAAAGTTCTGATATCAACATTTGTGACGAAAAATTATTACACTCGTCATTAAATAGACTTTCTAATATTTTCTCATTCGGCCCGCCCTAGCAGACTATTCCAGCCTTTTTCCCTTCACAGGCATTTTCTATTGCAGCGTGCCGAATAAAAAACAAGAGAGAACGCTATAGTCGGGTTGGTGTCCCGACTATCTAATACCCGTCACTCAGCTAAAGGGAGTGCAAACGCTGTGTCGGGTTGGTGTCCCGACTAATAATCGTAACTCAGCTAAAGGGAGTGCGAGGGAGATAGATATATGCTGACAATTTATAAAGCGTATAACTTTTTAATGAATGGTCCGATTTGAAAAATGTCTTCTACATTTCGATAGGTATAAATATACACAACAAAATTGCATTTACACTTCTCAGAAATCTTTAAAGATGTGGGCGCAGGACCCATTTTAAAATCGTTAGTGGGCGATTGTGGGCGTTAGAGGGGGCGTGGCGCTCGGCTAAAATAAACTTGCGCTGCGTAGGAAGCCAAAGAATATGTGTGGGAAATCTCAACCTTCTAGCTTTTGTAGTTTCTGAGATCTCAGCGTTCATACAGACGGACAGACGGACAGACGGACAGACAGACATGGCTAGATCGACTCGGCTAGTGACCCTGATCAAGAATATATATACTTTATGGGGTCGGAAACGCTTCCTTCCAGCTGTTACATACTTTTGCACGAATCTAGTATACCCTTTTACTCTACGAGTAACGGGTATAAATATTAAAAAATCTATTTAATGACGAGTGTAATAATTTTTCGTCACAAATGTTGATATCAGAACTTTTGTATGTTGAAGGTGCGATCGTCACTAGTTTTTTACCTCGTTAAGAGGTGTTTTTATTTGATATCAGAAGTTTTTGTTTGTTTACATTTGCTCTCATAGGAGCTAATATATACATTTAAATTTAAATTAATCAATCATAATTTGTAAGCCATTGTATTTAAACAAATTAAGTTAAAAAGTATTTCAAAATACCTTTTAAACGAGGTATGGCACATGTCTGTACCTTTAGTAGTGTAGAACTTACAAACTAACGAAATTTAGCCATTTTTAGCTTTTTTCCCGCTAAAGTAGCGGCTTTTTCCAAAAGTCGTAGAACAAAAGATTCCTATATGGAACTCTTAAGTGCAAATTTACTGATTCCATGACCCTAAAATACAGTTCGGATACCCTCACACAAAATTCAATACTCAGGAAGCTTTAGTTGTTCGAGCTGGCAAAAGTGGCTATTTTCGTATAAAAATAACTTTTAAACGTGGCTTTTTACAGTAATGTGTTATATACCAAAATTTAAGGATTCTCAAGGGCTATACAGTTTAAAGTTTTCAAGAAAATCGTTAGAGCCGTTTTTGAGAAAAATAAAAAAAAAGCTAAAAAAAAAGTTTTAAAAAATTGTCTTTTGTTCATATCTTTTTAATTATTACATTTACACAAATTGCATATAGAAGGAGTTTATAGCATTTAAAAATACCTTTCAAACAAGATGCAGCAGTCTGTAGCTTTAGTAGTATAGAAGTTACGGTTTTCCGAATTTTAGCTATTTATAGCTTATTTCCCGCTAAACTAGCGAGTTTTTCCAAAAGTGGTAGAACAAAAGTTTTTTATATCGATGTGATGAGCGTCATATTAAATTTTCAAAACTTAAGAAACATGTTTTGGACAAACTGACAAACTGACAAACAGAATTAAATTTTCATTTTGGGAAGAAGAAGGAAATCTTATTTTGGCTTTAACTTTTGAACGGAGCGTCGGACCCCTCATTCGACGGGTATTTTCAAAAGGAATACAACTAAAATATTGCGAAGGGGCATTTATCCCCACCGGCCCCAACAGCTCCAAATTTCGAAATTTTCACTTTTTCACTTTCACCGCTCTCTCTCCCAAGCCAATTGATTTTCTTAAAGTCTTGGTATGCAATTCTTTAAGTTTTTGCAATACCTTTCGATTGGTGTATTACTCATTACGATCGGACTATCACAGCAGATTTTCAATTTTGCGGCTATATAATAGTAGTCGCCTTCGCACACTCTCCTGGTGCGCTTCGTCACTACATGGACTGCCGTCCATAGTGATATCGCTTATATTGCGAATACGATCTCGTATTAATTTCTGTTGACCGAAATCGCTCTCGCGTTGCCTAGGCCAGTTATAATTATTTATATCAAACACGATTACTATATGTGTTGTATAACTACGAACGCAAATAGGCAGATAAATAATCGATTTTGAACTTTTTATATTATTTATATTATAAGTTTGAAGTGAAAAAGTTTAAAAAAGCACGCTGCTGACAATTAAGTTTTATTACCAAAAAAAAAAATGAGAGCTTTGCTCGTAAGATAACAAAAATATAAACAAATGAATGAGAGCGGAGTACGCAGCACTCTATCAGCTTATTATTTTTGCAATCCGATCAAAGAGAGCGGCAGATAAGCTTTAAATGTATTCGTCCATTTAAATAAACAATCACAACAAACCGACTGGGAGCGATATCTCTTTTAGAACATATAATAGTCGTACTTGTCGTAAACTCAGTCAGTGTTATTTTGACCAAGAGATATAGCATTTCTTCGCTAGCAATGGCTCTTATGGAAATATGTATTGTCCTAGTTGGAATCGGTCTTTTGGTCTACAAATGGAGTACGGCCACCTTCAAAACCTTCGGCGATCGGAACCTGTACTTCGAAAAACCTTTTCCATTTGTCGGTAATATGGGTGCATCGGCCATGCAGAAGGCCTCATTTCAAAAGGAGATAGCCGAGTTCTACCAACGCACTCGACATCAGTAAGTGATTAGCGGCTCGATTTCCAGTGGCGAAATATCATTGGGATCTTACGAAATTCCAGCAAAATAGTAGGCCTCTTTAATCTGCGCACACCAATGGTTCAGATCAACGATCCGCAGCTGATTAAAAAGATCTGTGTTAAGGACTTTGACCACTTTCCCAACCACCAGCATTTTATAAGCGCCAATGAGCGTTTAATTAACGATATGCTAAATGTGATGAGGGATCAACGCTGGAGGCACATGAGGAGCATCCTGAGCCCGGTCTTCACGGCGGCCAAAATGCGCAAAATGTTCACCCTGATGAACGAAAGTTTCGCGGAGTGCCTGCAGCACCTGGACACATCGGGATCTTCTCCCAGTAAAAATGGTTTCGAGGTGGACATGAAGGGGTTGTGCAATAAGCTCTCCAACGACGTCATCGCAACCACTGCCTTTGGACTGAAGGTTAATTCATTCGAAGACCCGAAAAATGAATTTCACCAGATCGGGCAGACACTGGTTTTTTCCCGGGGACTTCCGTTCTTAAAGTTCATGATATGCTTACTTGCCCCCAAAGTATTTAATGTGAGTACGGCATAGCGTTATAAAGTCTTAACTTATTTTAGTTTAAAATTCCTCCAGTTTTTCAAGCTTACAATCTTTGAAGCCAGCAAAGTGGAGTACTTTGTTCGTCTGGTGGTGGATGCCATTAGGTACCGAAAGCAACACAATGTCTCGCGTCCCGACATGATCCAGCTGCTAATGGAGGCCAAGAAGGAGTCCCAAGATAACTGGACTGATGATGAGATTGTGGCCCAGTGCTTCATTTTCTTTTTCGCCGCCTTTGAAAATAACTCCAACTTGATTTGCACCACCACCTACGAGTTGCTGCTCAATCCCGAAGTCCAGGAGCGTTTGTACGAGGAGGTGAAGGAGGCCCAAGAGGCTCTGAACGGAGCTCCCCTCAACTACGATGCCGTGCAGAAGATGACCTACATGGACATGGTCATTTCCGAGTCCCTCCGGAAGTGGACTCTGGCCGCTGCCACCGACCGTTTCTGCTCCAAGGATTACACACTCACGGATGAGGATGGCACTAAGCTGTTCGAATTCAAAGTAGGCGATTCCGTTAACATTCCCATCTCTGGCTTGCACTGGGATGACCGCTACTTTCCGGAACCCAGCAAGTTTGACCCAGAGCGCTTCAGCGAAGAGCAAAAAGGCGATCTGGTGCCCTACACCTATTTGCCTTTTGGGGTGGGACCTCGCAGCTGTATTGGTGAGTAAATAGGTTTAGGTTTCGGTACACAATGACCGCATCACTTCATATTTAAATGTAAAATAATATTTTATCCAAACCTCAGGAAATCGCTATGCCTTGATGCAGGTCAAGGGCATTCTGTACAACCTACTGCTGAATTACAAGATAGAAGCATCCCCAAGAACTACCAAGGATCTGTGGGAATCGGCTCGTGGCTTTAATATTATACCCGGATCGGGATTCTGGATGCACTTTGTGCCACGAACGAAGATCGATGTAGTTGGTACCTACCAAACAGGTTAATAAAAAGACGACTCGATGGTTAAGAATAAAATACACAGACATATATTTTACTTTTGATTATGTTTCCATACACACTTGTTGATATAGCATAGCTTAGACATAGGTTTTCGTTAAACTCTCACTGGTTGGTTGGTTACAAAACTTTCTTCACTTCAAGTATTCTGGACACATTCCCTTTATATAACAATTTCACTTTCACGCTGCGGGGAAAGCACGCAAATTACATAAAACGTTTGGCTTGCAAACAAAAGAATCTTCAATACGATTTGTTTTACAAAATATGCGAGGAAAAGAAACTGCAAATGTATGTTGTAAATGTTAATGGATTCCAAGTTTCGTTGTGTTTGTTTTTTTTCTGCGTTCTGCTTTTGCCATTTTAAATTATTGCACGTTTGGCTAATATCTGAAACAGATAATACTTTCACTCTTTTGGAGATTCTTTTGTTGGCCATCGATTGGATTTCGTTGGATTTTATTGTTCGTTGATTGCGATTTGTTGTTTGTGGTCTCTACTTTTCGTTTGATTCGGTTCTGCCTAAGATCTAACACTAGAATAACTTAATATTTATGGTAATGCCCCTTGACGAGGCATGTGTATATGAATATGCAAATATGATATAGTTTTAGCTTTGTACAACGATTTCTCTCATCTCTGATCTCATATGTGCCTTCTTATCGGGTGTATTATACATGTCGATATGTTATTTACAGCCACGGTTGTAAGGTGTCCTTGGATTTCTCATATCTATAAGGAAATCACCCAGTCAACCGTGTTGAGAACCACTCTCTTTCCAAACCTACACGCTGTATAGTCGTCCATTGCTGGTGTGCTGGGAGTTGGAGTGACGGGGCTTGCCCAGCCCAAAGAAGTTCCACACCCTCCGCAGGCAGCCGGGCTTCTTCTCCGGCAGCATCAGACTCTGCTCCTCGAGGATCGTGTCCAGGATGTAGTAGCTGCTCAGGTTGAAGGGCGGCGGCGGCAGCATGGGGGGTGGTCAGGAAATCGTGCAGTTCTTGCTCTCGTGCATGATTGCCGGTGAACCGCCCACACCCATGGATGCACTGCCTCCTCCAGGAGCCACACCCCCCTCCTGGGCCATCTTCTTCTTGCGCTCGTAGGCCAGTGCATCGTTGGGCACATAGGCCACTCGCACTCCGCCGTAATGCTTCCTCGCCGGCAGCCGGTACACATAGTCGTCCATGTCGCTGGATGAGCTGGAGGAGCAGGTGGAGCAGATGCTGGCCACGTCACAGTTGTCCAGGTTGTTCAGCAGGTTGAGTGGCCCCGTTCCCGTCCCCGTTCCCACCTGCGTCTGGGCATTGTGCAGGCGGAGATTCGTCTGGTTGATCTGCATCTCCGAGGAGCTGCGCGACTGGTTGCGACGCCTCCTCCGCCGCCGGGCATTCGAGTTGTCCGTGTAGCTCTTGGACCGCGACATCGTGTCCTGGACGCTGTGGAAGCGCACCTCCTTCAGCGGCCGGTTGTCCAGCTGCTCGTCGTCCAACTCCTGATCCACCTGGTTGCGATTGCCGGCGAAGAGCTGCTCGTAGCCATCGTGGGGCAGCTCCCGCACCGGCTCGTTGTCCAGCTCCAGTTCGTGGGCCAGCTCCTGGGTGCTCTGCGTCAGATCCGAGTTGCTCGGCGAGTTCAGATTGATCTTGTCGATGCTCTGATAGCTGTGCGAGTCCTCCCCCTTCGAGAGCAGCATGTCGGGCATGGAGTTGGTCAGGGTCTGGGTGTCTCCGAAGATGGACTTGTCGCCGGCGCAGATGTTGTCCAGGCTGATCCCCAGTTCGGTGAGGTCGATGGGCGGCGGATGGGCGGGGCGTGGCATGCCGGGAACACCGCCGCCGAGCAGCAGATCCGCCACCCCGGCCGCCTCCATGCGCTGACGCTCCTGCCGCTCGAGGAGATCGCCAGCACTTCCCGTGGCCTTCGGATGACCATGACCATGGGCCTTTCCCTTCTCCCGCTCACCCGTCCTCCGCGGCGACCGGGCTATTTGGCTAGAGGTGGAAGCCCGATGCGTGGGCCTCAGCTGGGGACCCGAACTCGTGTCCGACGGCGTGGGCGGCTCGCCCTTGCTGCAGGCAATGGAGCAGTAGATGGTGCCCCTCCTGGGCAGGAAGGGTCTGCCCAGCAGGGAGCAGCGGCAGGTGCAGCAGCTGAAGCACTGGTCCGTCGCATGCCAGTGCTGCCCGTCGTGGCTCATCTGGCCCTGATCCACGCCGATCACCTCGCCGCAGTAGTCGCAGTACTCGGCGAACATCGTGTCGAAGCAGGCCAGACAGTACGGTTTGCCCTCGCGCATGATGTACCGCTGGCCGCCCAGCTGGTGCTCGCACTCCTGGCAGGCGAAGTGCTTCATGTGCCACGTCCTGCCCTCCGCCTCCGTGCACTCGTCCGAGAAAATTATCTGGTTGTGGTGAAAGGAAAAAAAAGGAAATACCGAATTAGGAAAGAGTTTTGGGAGGTAGTTGGGAATCCCAACTTGGGATGGGTCATTAGTCCATAAACAATAAATGCCATTAGTTTACCAACATATGAATATATTTTAATTTGGATTTCAAATTGATATGCTGCATATCAAGACAACATTTATAACACATATATGTAATTTTAAATTGATCATCGTTTCATATCATGTTTTTTTGTTTGTATGATTTAATTATATTATTATATTCTAGATTGAATTTTTAAGCTTAAACACATTCAGATTATAACTAAAATGGTTATTTTTATCACAAATTCAGAAGAACAACATTATCTTAATTTTTAATTTGATCTATTTGCTTGAATTATTTAAATTTGAATTACAAGAAGACTTGAAATTTTACACAAAATCTGTATCTTTAATTCAACTTAAATTCTCATTTTGTCTACACTTTGCTGCTCAGCAATTTGACGAGCACTTACCTCATCACAGGCAGAGCAGCGTGGCTTCTGGGTTTCGGCGTGATGCCGACCGCAGTAGAGGTTCCCGTCCCGCTGGAAGTAGATGAGGTCCACCAGCAGCTCCTTGCAGACGCTGCACACAAAGCAGCCGGGATGCCAGCACAACTGGGCGCCCAACCGCTGGGCGAAAACCACGATGTCACCGCCCGACAAAGGCTCCTCGCACTGAAAGGGAATAAAAACCAGAGAGTGAGTAAGGTAAATCGTAGAAATGGGAGAAATATGCTCAAGTTCTTCGAGCGATAAAAATCTGCAACGTCTGTCTGCTGCTGGGGCAAAAATATTTAAGCGACTATAAATGCTAAATAACGGTAATAAAACGCTTAAGCTCAACGCCCCACAAGTCCGCCCCTCCGCCAGGAAAAGAGCCGCCAGCAGGAAAAAGTCCTGGCTCGGTGTCCTGCTCTGCGGTTTTCCCTCTCTTTACCCTCCCCTTCACTCGGATTTTCCAAGCCGGAAATCATGCAAAAATAGCTGCCGGCCATGTGTCCGTGTCGGCCCGGTGTGTTTGGGTCCACCCCAAAAGTGCTCCTCGGTGGATTGTGGATAAGGAAGCGCTTTAAGTGGCGCTGGCTGCTGGGAAATTTCTGAAAACCGAAACTGAGAAATGCGAGCAGGAAGTGCCGCTTTTAATGACTGCTGGCAAGCCACGCAGCTCGAGACTCGTTAAATTTAAACGCGCTCGCATAATGAACTTATTCGCCCCGAAAGGGTTCACAACCCAGGGTCCCAGGCATGGTGACGTTTTCATGCCCCTAAATTAAGGCTCTAATTGAGTTCGCTCAGAGGTCAGAAAGTCAAACGGAAAATTTGAAACTATAAGACGGGGAAATTCCGCTTTCAGCTATTTTTAAATGAAATACTTTTAGATATATTAAAAAAGTAGCTTGAAATAACCTTGAATTTAAATAAAAAAGTTTCAAAGGATATTGAATTTTGACGAAAAGCCATGCGGGTATTAGATTCTTATAATGTTAGTTAGGACTAACTTGATATCAGTTTACTTTTTTATGATAAAAATTTTTTGTTTTCCAAAGCTGAGAGTTAGAATAACTTTATAATAAAACTTTTTAGATTTCCAATGCTTGTAAAATTCTTAACTTCAATTGGCATAATATATTTTTCTAATATTCGCAGAGAAATAAAAACAGACAAAACTTTAAAGAAACATTGTGTATGACGGCTGTTACTTTACATATTTCTGCATATGAACTCTATTTTGATAGCACTATTTTCTTAGCCTCCCGCACCTGACTGCCACTTTCGGCATTTCCGGCATAAAGCAATTAGCCCGCCCACTCTTATATATGCACAATCCTCCTACGTTTAAGAACCGTCACATGCAGTTCCTTCGAAGGAGAACCCATGCCAAAGTTCCCTGCCAATTGGCACCCTCATTTCAGGCAGTTGGCGAGATGGCTCCACTGCGTCTCCGTTCTCGGTTTCGGCGGTTTCTGGCGCAGGCAAATTACCCGGTGCCACCGCAGAGCCACCGCACAAGATTCAGGGTCCCATTGCCAGTCAGCCAGTATTCAACATCCAGGAGCTCCTTAACTTTCCAGGCTATTAAACCTCAGCGCGGGCGATGCTCTCGCTCCGTGGGCTGCGATGGACCCACATCCTCCGCCGCGTTCCCGCAATCAGCATTTACTTTTGCAAGCCATTAAGCATTGACAGGCGAAAGCTTCGGGGCCCCGGACTGTACAGGGTTGATAATTTCCCGGGGCGTAAGTAGCTTCTCTCTATGCGTCGTTAATTGTTTGGCAACTTCAAAATTTATCGCCTCGGGCCACGAAAATCATAAAAACCGAGGAGATGCTGCGCAGTGCGCACTTTAATTAGGCAGTTTCCCTGTCCCTTTTCTCTGCTTTTCTGGCTAATGACGCATTGAAGTCGGAATAGACTTGTCCTTGCACTTTGGCCTGGCTAACCCCAGAAACTGGGCAAAGAACTTTTGCCACAGGAAGCGCTTTAAGTAGTTTCTGCGGTGGGGACAGAGTGGTAAAGTTTTCAGCGTGGATGCGGGGGAGATTGATCCCCAAAACCCAACCAATTTCGGTCCTAAGCCCGCCCCCGCCATTGATTAGTTTGTCCGGGAAATCTGTGCACTTAAAATGACATTTTTCATTCGACTGCCAGCCGCCCGGCTAAATGTCATGTAAATAACAGCAATCGCTGCTCATTTATCTTATCAATCCAATTAATCCCAGTTGGCTGTCGCTTGTTTGCAGGCACTCTGCGCCAGACAATTATGCTATTGACAAATTGTTGCCGGCGGTGCCATCGCAAAAGCACCTATCGCCTAGACTGAACCCAGTTGACCCACCGACGGGGTGGGAAGTGTCCTTGCTTACCCATTTCGTGTCCGGACTAATCCAACTTGGAGCGACAAACTTGGCTGGCAGACGGGCAAAGACGGTGGTATCCTCCGAAAAACAACCTCCCCCGAAAAGCAACTCGAATTATTAATGACGCTCGTTATCATGCCCTTTTCAGTACATAAACTTTTCGCTTAACAGCCACTGCGCTTCACCTTCCTTTTACTGGTTTTTCTTTTTGTTTCGCTCTTGCTACCTAGATGCACTGAGCGAAAATTTCAAGGGTGGAAAAAATATTACCTAACAAATTAAATTAAGTCATAAAGTACCCTCGCCACTTTGTAATCAATATTTAATTTAATATTTTAATAACACTCACTGAACAATTTCTAAGTTGATTTGTAAAGTTTCAAGTTTTTCTGCCTCTGTCCCTTGAAATATATATATATTTCTGGCAGTAAAGTGCCGAGTCTGAGATGGCTTTTCTTGTAATTATTTCATTGTTGCCGGGACGACCTTTAGTGTCACATCCTTGTCAAAACTTCAGCTTCCGCTCGTTGCTGTTCGTGCGGAAAATCTGTCAAGAAGTGTGCCCCTCATTCCGCTGCTCGATTCCATTATTTTTTGGCCAAATCATTGCCAGTTGAATGTGACACACGTTGGCTTGAGCTTCTGCCCACGTTACTACTCATTTACGCCTGACTGACTGAGCTTCCTCCCTTCTCGAAATTCCGGATTCAGGATCATTGAACGTTTTCATAAATTTTCCCTCATAATTTCCCCATGCTTTCCACGCCATTCGATTCGATGGCCCCGGGTTGAGGCCTTTGTTCGCATTTTAACGTCCGTTTAGCAAGTCAGTTATGGTCTGTGAATTTTAAGCACTTTCGCCTTGGTCTTAGTCGGGGTTCAGGGGATGGCTTCCGATTTTCTTCAAATCCTTTTTAAAGTTTATCAGATTTTACATGGTAACGAAGTGGAAAGTTTGGCAAGAAAAAAACGCCCACACGCTTCTGCAAAAATCATTGAAAAGGTTTTTCTTTGATTTTGTGTCCCTTTAATGCTTCCAACCTTGTTTTAGATTTTTATTCAAGCTGAGAATAATTGGGCACAACTATTTATTTTTATTTCCTTACCAAAAATGTCAAATTAATATTTTGAAAAATAAGTTTATTTGAAACTCTTGCTCATTTCTACACGGATGTGCACACAAGAGCTAAGAAAAGTTTTGGCCACTTCTTAACCAACTTCGCACTGATTATTCGGGACCCTAATGAACTCCGACCTCCGAAAAGTGCTCGCTCAAGTTCCAGGCTCCAGTCATAATAAACCCAACTCGTCTGCCTCTTTGGACAGCCCAAATGAAATCAGACACACGCACACGACTCCTCCGGGCGAGTCCCTATCCGCCGTATTCCCATTCGCCCGCGCACGTAGCAGACGTACCAGATTCGAACCCGTAGACCAGACCAACCAGAGGATCCTCACCACTTCCCAGACACGCAACGTGCGGCATAAAGTTTTTAATAAGTTTTACGAGTGGCGAATGTGGGCACAATAAAATCGAGCTGCCAACTATCACCCGGAAAAGTGCACAGAGATGACCAAGTGCACATCGGCATGCCGGCTGGAAGGGGGAGAGTCCTCCGTCCTCCGACTGTCAGCCAATAACAATGCAAATTTCCCAGACCCAGACCAGACTGTGAAAGGATGCAGTGCTGCGGCAGTGCCACCACCTCTGCCACTATTTCATGCCACTGCCATTGTGCTTTAATGCCATTTCATTGCGTCTCTGGCCGGTCCTCGGCCACTCCATTCACTTTCTGCGGAAAAGCAGCGACTCTCTTAGCCTTTATGTTGTCAGAGCCAAGTCACTGCAATTGTTTTTGCAACAACGTTTTTCATTTTCATTTTCAGCTCGACGCCCCTCCGTCTGCCCCCGAAAGTGTACTTAATGAAATCTTTTTGTCATCTTTTACTTCGAGACGTTCGAAAGTTTTCCCCCACCCTTCGATCTCATTGTTTTCCCGGGCCATTGTCAATTTTTTTCCTACTTCGCCTGGGCCAAGAAGGAATCTCTGGCGCAAACTTTGCCCGGCCAGGCAGGCACAAATGAAATCGAAACGACTCTTCATCTTTATACTTTCTGTGCATAATAAAATGCAAATTTCTGCAACAATTAAATGTGCGGGAGGGGGTAAAAATGGGGAGAAAAATAAGGGGAAAGAGCGTTGTTTTCAAACTTACCCCCTTGCAGGGTCGCTCGTCGGACAGCAGGCGGACGGCTCCTCGGCCGAGGGCCTCGCGCTTCCTTTGGGCCGAGAAGATGCGCAGCTCCTTGCGCTCCTCGTCGCTCAGCGAGTGGCAGTAGCGCACCTGCAACAGACACGTAGACGGCGGAAAGTTAGCTTCTGTATTCTGTTTTCTGAGTTCCTGAATCCTGAATTTTAATTAAGGCAACTCAAAAGGCAGTGCCAAGTTTTTTAATCTCGCCGGCCCTTTTGAAGGGTTCCCTTTATGTTCCGTTTTCAATGCCCGCACCGGGGTAATTATAATTTTGTCACAACGAGATGCTTTCTATGTCTGTTTCAACAACATTTTTTTCGGCACAACAATTTTTCAAAGAAAGTATTTATACTTTTGCTGTATTTAAATTAAAAGTAATTTATACTGATAAGACAAGTTATAAAAGTATAAATTTGTTATAATAGAAATAAATTGTTTTGCAGTCTTTTTATCTGCATACCAAAAGTTGGACAATTATTTAAAAAGTTATTTATAAATATATCATCATGGTCAAAGTGAATAATATGTAGTTAAAGGAAAATAATAGCTGATAAATATGTATAAATTATAACTGATTATTATGAAAATTAAAAAATAGTTTACACTCAATTAATTTTATTTAAATACTTGAAACTTTAAAATAGTTTAACTACGTATTCTTCTTAGTTTTACGATATTTTTATCCAACTAATTTTAAAGTGGCTTTGTCTGCACTGCCCATTGTTTTTATTATCTTCTTTTTTTTAGCCTTCACCAGTGTTCTTTCGGATCTCCTTTGGCCAATACTCACTTCGTTATCTTGCGGCGGCAGCTGGTGCAGCAATTGTTTGACACGATACTTTTCGCCGGGACTGTTGACGTAGGGCACTTTGTCGTCTGGCAGTTGACTGAAGTACAAGCGGACCTGCGAAGTGGAAAATGGAAAGCCGGAAACTTGAATTAGCTATATTGCTCTTTAAATCGAATTTGACAAATCATAACGAATTAATCGTAAGTCGGTGGAAATATTTTCACGCCCACTAAAGTCGTGCTAGTAAAAAGTGTCGCAATGCTCATGGGAACTCGAGTACGAGGAAAATAAATAACTGCAGGCCAATCTCAGAGGTCTTTCGGCTTTTCCCAGGAGCTCTTATGTAAGCCTCCGCCCCGAAATAAAATATCGACAGGCATTTCAAGCTCTAATTGCCGCCAAATGTATCGGCAATTTAATTACAAAACGCTTTCGCTTTCCACCAGATACCGATGGCGATTCGGGAGCGATAATTTTGTTCAGCGTGTAATTAAAGTGGTTTCCCGACCGATTTCCTTAGGCGCACAAGTGGCCAACGACCAGACATTGAACTGGATTTGTTTTTGGGCATCCAATTGGGAGAGCGTGGAAAATCGATCGAAATCGAAAGCAAAAACTGGCAGCGGGTGGCCTGGGGCCCCAAAAGGCAACCACCTCGCCCCAAATCCCATCGCTTGAGATTTCACTTAATTAGCTGCGACAAATCGGAACACATGTCGAGATGATGACGATGCTGATGATGTTAGGCATGTTTGAGGTGCCACACTCAGGAAAAGAATTACTTGGAATTATAATCGATCACGAACTCGGAGAAAGTGGTTACAAAAAATATCGGAAGGCCTCTGACAAAGTTTTACAATAATTGGGAGTTGAGCCATATGTGTGTCTCTTTCAAGCTAATAAAAACTTTTAAAAAATATTTATCCTAAAGCTGTTATGTAGAAATATGAATTTTACTTAAGAAACGTACTTCTTAAAATAGATATTTATTAAATCAAATATTTTTTTAAATATCAGATTTAAATCAGATAGTTTACCATATGAAAACTAAACATTTTATTCTTATTCCTAGGAAATGTATTGAAACTTCGAACGAGAAAACGACACTTGATCCTATTATGTGTCCATTACTAATAATTTGTATAAGCCTTTCTTTAATTTATGCTTTGCTCTTTTGGTTTCAGTGTGGAGCCTCTTGAGCTTGGGGGCAGGTCTTAGGTCTTAGGTCTTAGGTCTTAGGTCTTACCTGATCGGGCCGCAGACCCGGCGGCACCCAAGTGTACTCCTCGAGGGCGCAGCCGCTGTCGTCGTCCGACTGCGAGTTCCGCTGGAAGTCCAACTGCTGGTGGTGGCTGTGGTGGAAGCCGTGACCCACCACTGCCGCCGCCGACTTGTAGCTGGCGGTGCGGAGTGGCGAGGCCACCGAGTTGAGGGGCAGATGGCTGGGCGGTTGGCAGTGGCGGCGCTGCAGCGGCGACACAAAGTGACTGGCTGACCCCAGGGCTCCGCCACTGCCACCGCTGCCTCCACTTCCGCTGGAGGCGGCCGAGGGCACGTCCAGGTTGGAGGTGGACGCCACCTGACTGCCCAACGACGTGGGCTGCAGGGCGCTGACCGCCGACTCGGGGCGTTGCGAGTGGGTGGCGAAGGTCAGGCCCGTTCCACCCGCCTCAATCTGCAGCAGCTCGCTCTCCGTCTGCGTGTAGTAGCTGCTGCCGGGCGGATGATGTTGCTGCTGCTGCTGCTGCTGCGGATGTTGCTGCGGGGTCTGTTGCATGTTGCCGCTGGAACGGGGTGCGGGCGTGGGCTTGAATTTTCGGCTGACTTCGCTGGACTGGGTGCTGCAAGAAGGTAATCAAAGCGAAAGAGAAATCATTATGAGGTGTCCAGATTACGAAACGAACATTGGACATGGTATCTAGTTTTTAGAATTAATATCATATAATTAAAAGAAAGCAAGTCTGGGCTATAAAATTAATATTTCATGAAGCTTTGATTAATGGGTATGTAAAATACTTGTAAAAACCAAGAGATTTATGTATTTCTCACATCTGAGAACTTCATCTGCGGAATGCCATTCTGTCTAATCTGCACCTTAATCACTCCCGATTCCATCTGCCCGACTCATTTGCAATTAGACTGCTGGACTAGCGGCAAATGTATTCGTTTTGAGTGCCCGCAGGCATTCAAATGACTTTTGAGTGCAATTACGGCGCAGCTGCATGCGTGCAGTTGTCCAATCAAATCTGATGAAACTCCGAACGCCCGACTACGAATATCCCAATCTCGAAATTGCAGTCATAAGGTTTTGTTGCCACATCTCGCCTGACCGCTGCCCACGGTGGAATCGCAGTCGGAATCTGAGTCGGAATCTTCTTCTCTGCGCCGCTTTCTGTGGTACTTTCACTCGATTTGTGGCACGCTGCGCGATTATGCAGCCAAGCAGAGACAGCCGAGAAATTCCAGCACATGGCCCACAGAGTCCCCTGGTCATGTTTTTACCATTTTCCTACTTGTGTTTATGTGGCAATTAAAGTCATTTGTTTGGCTCAAAGTCGACGTATGCGTTGTGTGAAATATTAAACTGTTTCATTCACAAAAAAACGCTTCACATTTGTATACATCATATCAAATTGTACAACATCCAGAGCATGAATAACAGCCAAACAGACAAAGCCATTAGGCCTTCCAACATTTTTATACACTAATCAACGTGAGAAGAAACCCCAAACCAATTTGCCATTCCAGCTAAAGTCTATAAATCTAGACGGCCTGCTGGTGGGCTTATGCAAATTAAAGACATCTCATCACAAACGGAGTTTAGCCTTCTGCTAATGAAGCAAAAAGCCCACAGAAAGTGAATGCCTCTGAGGTTGGGAGGTGGGTACATTAGTTGGTAGATGGTAACTACCATTAGTACCACATGGATGACCAGGAGATATTAACACCTCCGTACGAAGTTCGCGGATCACAGAGTGCCACTGGAATGCCCCATCGTGTGTGGAGAAAGTTTACGACCACTCTGTTTTTTTTTGTGGGTTTCCAATGCAAATTTCATTTGTTTGCAGGTAGGTTCGGCTTGGTTCGCTGCCAAAAGTTGATCGATCACAGGGTACTTTCTAAACAGTTTTGGTCAAGATTGTCCAGACCAAGGCGTAATCTGTCACCCAATGAATTGGAAATTGTGCGACTGGCGATTGACTTTGATAGCGGAAAACAGCGGCCAAGCGCCGGGCCAAAGAAGCCAAAGAAACCACGCCAGATCAGATCAATTCAATTCAAATCAACAAATCAAATCGACACAAAAAACACAAATCCCCGTCCCAACAGCTGCCGAATATGGCCAACAGTGGTTTGGCTGCCACTTTTCGGACGCTTTCGGCCTAGACGCTTTTCGGTTTTCTCTTTTCGACCAGCGAAACCTGTTGACGGTTTCTACGGTCCATGCGATCCATTCGGTTGCATGCGATTTCTGCACTAAACGCCACTTCGCCTGGTGCAAAATACGCTGAGAATGCCGCATGACCAACTACGGATCTGCGGCCTGGACATATACATAAATTTGGGTTAAGAAGATTTTGAGTTTATTTGGTTTGATGTCTGTCATTTCCTTGATGGCCTGTCGCAATTGCGCACGTCTGAGGATAATTAAAAGTAAATTGTTTGACACTCAAATCGGATGGGAATGGCCCGAGAAATATGGCTATGCTGTTCCACAATCCGGTCTTTTTTCGCTTGACCAACAGCGAATTGCTGTTTTGAAGACACTTTTGGGAATTGTCTGTGATTATGGGTGGCTGTATTTTTGAGTGCTCAAAAATGCAACGAATATTTCTATGAGACAGGTGGATAAATGGGGTCAGATCGTCACAGAAAACATTATAAATTAAACTTTAAGGAAGAGGATGACTAAATCATAAAAATATCTCCGTAGGTGCTAGTTTAACTTTTCACTTTTTATGAAGAGCTCGACTTTTATGGCCTGACTTTTTATAGCCTATTACAATAAAGTTATTCAAAAACACACCAAGCCGGTTTATTTCTATTAAACATCTTAAACATCTTATAAGTTTTAAAATCCACTTGTTACTTTTACAACTAATAACCAAATCTAATTTGTTTCGTATGCGTTTCGCACAGCCATTAGCTATAAGCCATTTCAAAAGCCATGTCCCGCTTGGTATCTCCTTTCGAATCGGTTTCCCCAGCTACGATCTGATCCAATCCAATCCAAGCCAATCCTATGCGCGGCTTATTAACGGACTTTTCAGCAATTTCAGCACGTTTTGTGTTGCTCAAATGCCAAATCCCAGCTGTAATAATATCTCAATTATGTGCAACACCACAATATCGATAGCATTTCTATTCGTTCCACGGTATCGCCGCAGTGTTTCCACGATTTCATTAAATTTTAGACACGCAGTTTCCCCAGAAAAATCCGCAGCAGGAACACGTAACTGGTTCAAAATCATTTGGGCCTCTCGCCCGGAAAACCCGTTTTCCAATCGCTGGCCCCCTCCGATTCTGGGAAATGCTAAATGCACTACGACACAGAACGGCTGCAATTGAGGCACTAGGAAGCGAAATTAATACGTAACATGCAATTCTTAATAATTGAAAAGAGTCGAGGCAGCCAATCCGCATTAAATTACTTTCACAATTGGCCGAAAGATAAACGCCCGTCTCGGCCAGGTTAAGCCTGGCATTAGGCCTAGTAATGCTTGATTATCCATGACCAGCACACGATCTTGGTTCTCCGATCTGAGATCTTCGATCCAGAATACCGAATCCCATTTATTTCTGGCCCAAGGGGCGTGGCAGTTCAAAGAGGCAGGGCATAACCCATTACGAAATATCGTTCATTGGCCCCCCAACTCGTGACCTTGTTGCGTTGCGTGTTTCATTGTTTCGTCTGGGGCCCAAAACGACTCCCAAATGGAGCCCCCTTTATATGCAGCTGACTTTCGGGTTAAACTGCCGCGTTTGACTGGCTTTACGTCACACGAATAACTCTAGTCAACCAACCCATAAGATCCGAAACGAAAAAAACAGACCGTACATGCAATCGCGTCATATGTTGCACGTGTTGCTGTCGCTCAGCATTTTTATGCATTTCGCCTTGTTTTTCCCTCAGCTTCTTCTCTTTCTTTATGGGTTTTTGTACGAACATGAGCACATTTTGTGTGCCTGTCCGCGGCTCGGCTTCACCTGGCATCGGAATAGGTGCCTGGATGGGGATAACAGTGGGTCTGGGATTGGGTTTGGGTCGAAAAGCCCGTTGCACAAGTTCCTGTGCCTGTGAATCTGAATCTGAATGTGTGTGCAGCAACGCCTATTTAAGTACCGCGTGGTGATTTAGTGCAGCGTTACCGTTAGGCGGTACACGTTATTCGCTACTCGGAGCCAAGGCTAGTGATAAGCTATAAGCAATAAGCCAGCTGAATGCCTCGCATCGGACAGAGGCGTGAGTGGAAAATATTTTGGGGGGGTTTAAAAAGGCAACTTAGTTCTTTTGTCAAGATAAACATGGTAGAAAATAATTTATGTTCTCTGTGATTAATCAAAATATTCCTTGATATTTATTCTACACCTAACTTAGCCAGCAAATAAATTTATTATGTGAATTAAATAAAATATAATATATTGGAAAATTTTAATAATTTATTCAGTGTTAGTAAATTAATTTTATTAAGCTCACTTTCAAGGACCCTAATTAAAGAGCTTATCAAACCCTACAAGCCCTATTAAAAAAATCATACCTAACAACCTAAAAACAATAGTGTCCTAAAATTTTATAACTTTCATTATTATTATTACAAAAAAACCTTTGTATCTTTTTATCTTTAATTATTTCTTTCAGGCACTGACTTAATTCCATTCGGGGAGTCTTAAGCCCCTTAAGTCCCCATTTCGGGGCTGCCACTCCCAGATATTCACAGATAGCCAAGTCAAACAAGAGCATCGTAGTCAACAGCTTCAGCATCTGGATCCGCATTTTCAGCAGCGGCTAAAATGCATAATTAATCGGAGGGGCCAGGAGAAAAAGAAGAAGCGGCAGCCAAATGCACTTGGCCAGCCCACACTCGCAGTTTGCGATTTGCGAGCGAGTTGCTGATGCTGTTGCCGCTAATGTTGCCGCATTGCATGTTGCATGTTGCTGGTTGCTAGTTGCATGTGGCATGTGAGGCGAAACAGAACCGAAAACCCAACCAACTCCACTCAAGTCGGGTTTGAGTCGAGTTTGAGCTGATTCGCGTTCCGTCATTAACAGCTTTTGCTTAATTTTATTCAGCCAGCCAGTGCCACTCCCCCTTTGGCCCACCGCCCCTTTTAGCCCCCTTGCCACGCTGTCAACAAGTTTGGACACGTTTCAGCGATTTTCATGTTGCATGGCTCGCTCTAATTTATGCAAAATGTTGTTCTTCTTCTGTAATTCACTTCGTGTATTCGCTCGCTACTTGCTTTTGCTGCTCTTTTTCAGACATTTTTCACCGAACTTCAATACTTATGGCCAACTAGTTTGCAGGCTTCATTAGTCCCCCAAGTTGATGGCCAAGTTTTTGTGTGTTGATTTTTCTGCCTTATTGATTTCGCTGACAAAATGGGACTCTGTTGCCGGGTTTTTCATATGATTTTTATTGCTTTCGAGCAGAAACATATGGTTTCGAGCCATTCCGATTCTCTGACGGATGGCTTAAGTCGGGTTCCGTTGTTCTGAACTCGTTCCCAGCATACAATTGAACCATTTAGTTAGCTGTGAATTCCTGGCCCAAAAGATTACTTGCCAATGATACGCGGCTCCCACAGGTCTTAGACATAAATTAAATATCTTCTCTAATTT